ACCTCGGTATGTAATACGCGAAAGGTAAAAATCATTTTCGCATCTCGACTATTATTATAATAGGCTAATATCGCGTGGCTGCCACGATTCGGATTTACTTCCTCGAATAAATTTATCATCGCGATCTGCCGACGAAACTTTTTCAAACGCCTTTCTCGATTCCTCTTCAACTCGTCCCGTTGTAAATCCGACGCGTTACGCGACGTATCGATAATCCGTTAATTTACACTCGCTCTTTTCTCTCGTTAATCGAGTTAACCGAAAGGAATAGCTCTGCCCCCGTTAACGGGGCGAAACGCGAAACGTCCGAACTTGCCGAGCTAAGCATACGCGAGAGAGGACGCGAGAGAGGACGCGAGAGAGGACGCGAGAGAGGACGCGAGAAAATGATATAATAACAAGGATGCATCTACGGAGAAGAGCAACGAGCGACGAGGACTTTCTCCGATCTCGGTACACTCTGTTTACCTCCTCTATAATTCGCGTTACGCTCCAACTGCATAACGATCTATCGCGCATGCGCCACGTAAATCACCGATTATACAGATTTCCTCGTAACGCCGCGGATGTTCCTTTAAACGGGAGTTTACGTGGGTTTAGATGCTTATCTGCCTCGCACGAGGAATAATACCGCCACACCAAACGGATCATAACGAGCGATTTTGAAGAATCGAAAAGAAATGGGGAACAACGGTCTTGCAAACTTTTCCGAGAAGCAGAGATATTCGATCGCGTCTTCCGCTCCCCTTGCTTCTCGCCGTTCCAAATACCGATAATACGAAATACGATAAATCATCCGAGTATCGTAGGTAAATCGTTTTACGGCATTTAGCCAATTAACCACATACGACTATCGAAATTTTCGAATAAAACTTCAAATTCCATTTTCCACGAATTTCTCCAAATTCGTTTCGAATATAATTATCGTACAGTTTTCCCATTGTCGTTGTCGTTATTATTGCCGGTAATAACGATAAATTTCTTTTAACGTCATCGTCGTTCGCTTAGAACGTTGACGTAAAATCGATCATATATACGGATATTTATCGCGGCGTTATTGCGCCACCTCGATCGATCGTCCGAGTACGCTCTAGAAGCGTGCTCGAATCGCAGAGTTCGAGTTTTAACCCGTTTGCTCGAGTTTCGAAAATTCTAAACTTCGGACAGCGTTCGCGGTTCAAAGAATATCTCCGTATATCGAGTATATTTTCCCCTCCGCGCCGATACAAAACTAATCCTTTCTTTCTTTTTTCCCCATCACGGAATTACCGGACACGCGTTACAAACGCGTTGCAAACGCGTTACAACCGCGTTACCCATTGCGAAACGTTAAACGCCAAAGCCTTCTTTTAACCCGTTTTAAACGCGGAAGTCGACTGATAACGACGAGTAACGTGATCGACGCTTTGTTCTTCGCTTTCACATGGCCTCTCTTTCCC